CTCCGAAAGTATAAGAGCTAGAATAACCAAACTTGGTATACAGATTCTCCTGAGACCGAGAAAGGACGAGTTTGTTCATTTTTTCTGATTTTTTTTTTTTTTTTTTTTTTTTGTGGGGTGGTACAGGGTATTTAAGAGTTGAGCCTGCTCGACTTTAGCATTCCTTTCTTGTTTTTTCTTTGTTTAGTGCATTTGGCATTAGGGTTTTCATTAATAACTTTATGCAGCAACAACAAATATCAAATAGTTGGGGACATCACATACACACACTCACACACACAACAAGCAACAGTTCGTGTCTATGTGTGCGGTTCTCTACGTACGGTTGAAAAAGTAAAGAGAAACATACATATGTATGTATGTATGTATGCCTGTGTTTGAATATAGCATGTATGTACATTCGTATTAATGTATACATTGGGCAATCGAACACAGTTGTTTGATTGTAAAAAAAATAATGCTCTAAAAACAACAACAACTGCAAGTCATTGGCTCGCTCTTCTTTTGTTTTGACCATTTAATGTTAATTGCAAAGGCAAAACGCCTAAAGTTTACAGTTACCGTCGCTAGGCAACGACTGCGTAAGCAATAGTAAAGCAGAAACCGAATAACGGAGCTACGCATATTCTGCTTCGCATTGCGGGCAGATCTTATTGATCTCAATAAATAATTAGATTTTATTATTTAAATATTCTGCTTATTGCATTCAAACTTCGATATTTTGATGGTATCGGTGGCTTCAACTATCGAAAGTTTTACTCTAGCAAATTGAGATGAGAATTGTCAGTGCTTTTTGATCGTGGCTCATCGCTGCACGGCATTGACACGAGTGCCGTGTTTCATATTCCGAGATTGTGCGTGACCGTATTGACTCAATATGGCACGAAAAGACTCAAATGTATATAAGTATAAAACAGTTTGTCCTGACTAATTGGTGATCAACGCACAGTCCAAACGGTAAAAGATGAAATTTGGACTCAAGTATCCTTTCATAGTATCCAGCTCCAAAGAGGGGAAAACGAGCTTTAAAAAATATTAGTTATAGTGGTCATGTTCGTTTATCGAAATAGTTTGGCAAGAACAAAAATGTAACGGACTACTGAACAATTTTTTGTCAAGAACAGAAAATGTTCATTTAAATACCTTAAATGCCTTCCTACTGGTAACTTATAAGGTGAAAACATATGGGTAGGTTATGCACACACAAAATAAATACAATTGGAAACATTATATTGAGCCGGGTTAAGACGGTCAATACCTGCTAGTCGATACATATTCGAAGATATAAGTATGTTAAAAGTATGTTATATATAAGTATGTTATAGTTTCTGAGATCCTTGCGTTCATCCAGACAGATGGACGGACGGACATGTCTAGATCGATTTCTCTCGTCATGCTGATTCAGAATATATATACTTTACGGGGTCGGAGATGCTTCCTTCTGCCTGTTACGTACTTTGCACAACACCCTTTCACAGGGTATAAAAAACAGCAATCTTGTCAATGCTCACCCAAAGGTTTTGGAACACAGTTTCATATTTAAAACAAGTTGACCATAATGGAATTTATATTTTATGCGCCGAATAATCCTGCAGGGCCTTAAGATATGTGTTTGTTCTGCTCGATTTCATTTAAAAACCCTATGTGCACCGAAAGTATACTTACAATAAAAAAATGTTTGTTGTGTGACTTTCAAAATCTGTAATTTGTTCTTGTATAACCCATTGTTTCATGCTCCAATTTTTGTTTTAAAAGCTACATTTTTAATGAACTGTAATATGCATGACACTGTCCTTGCTCTACCAGCAGCTGTTGTTGTCGTTGTTGTGAGTCAGGTGCGTCCTGCCAATGGACACACAGTCACACATATATATGTATATACAAGTATATGTACTTACATATATTATTGTTGTATTGTTTTGTAGTTTCAATGTTAATGAATTGTAAATGATAAATTATGGAAAGAGCGGTAAATTAAAACAAATTGTTAATATTAAACACAATTAATTACTGGACCGGGTGCTGACTATACGAGTACATATAAGAGTTGGGGGCGCAAAACAAGCATTCAACGCGTTTTTTTTTGTTTTTGTCAGTAGTATCTTTAGGTGATTAAAACAGATTTATTTGTTACACTGGATATTATCAAGATTAATTCGAGTATTAATCAATGTGTGGTTTTGGCTTTACAATTTTTAATACTTGTATACTTTTCATATTTTCCAGAGCTAATTAATTTTGGAGAGCTGATTTATTAATTTTCTACCTTTCTTTTTTTGCCAATCAAATGAAATTAAGTCTGAGAGATCAATCAGGGTTATGTCCGGCATACTAACTTGTCTTCCTTCTTGATTTTTTAGCGTCTTATCTCTGTTGCTGGTTTTTTAAGAACTTAGGCCAACGGATAAAAGATTGTACCAGTTTAGTGGGCTCACAAAGTTTATAAATAGATTTTGTAGGACGAGTTGGGTTCCGGAAGAGCAAGAGCTAGAATCAGCGGATTTATTATATAAAGGTGGAATTAAAAAAAGGAAAATAAAAAAATGTGTTTCCGAGGAACTAGGAGAATCTATATACATTGGCGCAACCGTTTCCGATTTCCAGGTGTTCATCCAAACAGTCAGACAGATCGACATGCTGATTAAGAATATATATCTTTATAAGGTCGAAAACGCTTCCTTCTTCCTGTTAACTGTGAAGTGTATTTTTTTATGACAGTTTAACTTGAAATCTTTGACCATAAATGCTTTGTTAAATTTTGTTCCCTATTATAAATAATCTTTCCGTTTTATTTTACAGAACAAACTAATTGAAGGAGCTGAGAACTAAGAAGAGCTGGGTGAGTGTTTTTTGCTGTTTTTGTATGTACGTACATTCATTTCCACATAGTTTGTATTAACTTGTACAGCACGGCTTGAACGTAATTCTCGACAGTCAAATGTTCGACAAGACAAACCCATTTACACATGCGTTTTACAAATGAATGTACGAGTAGTATGTATGTATCTAATGTCCGTACATACATATGTATATAATGGCATATTTTGGTATATGAGTACACAGACACACAGATGGATAGATAGACGGGCTGTAATTGTAATTTATACATATGTACTTGTATATACGTATCTCTTAGTATCAGTGTTGCCCATTTGGCTTTTTTCCCGACAAATCTGGTTATTTTTTAAATGAAATTGCGGGCAGTGGGAATTCTGGGCTTTTAAAAATACATTTACTTTTCCCGCTTTTTGTAATTTTGCCAACATTCATGAAGAAAAAAGTGGAAACGAGGCAGCTTTATCATTATTATACTCTGTACATGAGTGTATTAGGTTTGCGCGAGCTGCAAAATGTTGACCCACAACAAAATGCGTAATTATCATTTAAAATGTTCGCCAAGATGATAAATAAACCTTGGAAAATACATTTTTCTAAGCATTTCTTAGCTTTATTCTTTATTATTTTAAGCTTTATTTCACTCCCATTCCCGTCAAAAACAGCCTTGTTTCCTTCTTAAAAGTTGGCAACACTACTTAGTATGTATAAAGATGTGTGTATGTATACTATATATGTATGTACTGGTGTGTGTTGTATATTTCTGGTGTTAATATACATATGTATGTACATGTGGCGCAAACAGCCACTCGCAGTGTAAATGAATGCAGTTTCCAAGCCGTGTCTGGCATAGTGTCAAGGGGGCCATAAAATGCAATTGATGGCTTAAATGGCCATCATTCCTTGCACGGCATTTTAGCAAGTTCGATGATGACATTTATCGCAATTGCTTAGGTCTTAACAATGCCAATGAATAAATAAATATAATAGGCATTCTCGCATTATTTTCATGCTCGCACATGACGGCAGAACATCAACTTAGCTGTGTAAACAAAACAAAAAAACAACAACAAAAACCCAATTGGTGGAACATAGTTTTCGCATAACGCTGTAGAGCTTGGGCCTCATGCGCCTAAAACACGCACGGGCGTGCTAGACATCCTTCTGGGTGTTATAAATATTGATATTAGGCGTCGACTGACATTCTTATATCAAATTCACTGATGAAATATATTCCAGTTGTTCACAGAGATTTCATTGCCAACGCAAGGGGATTGGCCAAATCGCCAAGACTTACTACTGATTTATTGGGCGTGGTCCACTTAATATTTTTGTCAGTCGTAGTGCATGTTAAATTTGAAATTAAAGGGCTAACTTATGTATGTATGTACATATATGCCACTTAAACGTGTTAGCTATGACAGAAGATATGTACTCGTATATTCGGATAAGTGATACCCTGAGTATTTTGTGTTTCTTTGTTGTCGTAATTTTGAGTTTTTTAATCAAACTGTAATACAGAAACTAGTCCTGATGGAGTCAAACTAAGGCTGGAGCTATTAATAAATATAAATTTTCAGGAAGGGCCAATACCCATAAGTAATATGGTACTGGTATGGGGTCATCCAACCTGAACTAAAATTGATTGCTGTGCCTGAATCGCAAATCACTTTTCTTCTACAAACTGTTCAGAACTTCAATGAATTCACTTGTATCTATCTTATTATAATAAATGTGAAAATACTTCATCTGAATTGGAGAATTATACCCTTTCCTTTGTTCACTGTACATGAATTACTCCGTTCTCGATAAGTAAGTATGTTTCTCCCATAGGCACGCCATGGCCCTTTGTATTTATAGAATCGGAAAGTTTGCAAAGTATTTGAATAATTTGTAAGCTTGCCCTTTGCTCAATTGTCAGAAGAAAAACTGCTCACTTAGCCAATTCTGAAACAATCGTGATTTGGCTCAGACCCGAGCAAATATTTTACACTCATTTACATATGGTCTGTATCGTCAAATATTGTGACACAAATGCAGGCGCTTGTAAAAGATCTGCGTTAATAAACTACATACCAGTAAGTAGAGGAATAGACATTGAATTGGAAGGTAATGACAAGGAACCATTTTTACAAAATGTGGCAATAATTTGTTAACAAGATTTGTACTTTTTCTGTATATACAAGTATACGTATGTATTTTTATTCATATGTATGCTCGGTTTATGTGTTCACCCTTTCCAGGCGATTATTTATAGCCGCAAAGGAAGCGCAAAAAAATATAAATAAAAAACAAGCAAATTACATACACCTCAGTTGCCTTGGGTACGTGTCGCTGTGGATACTCACTCCTTACTCCACTCAGCCTCGCCGATGGTCACAGTAATATCTGAGACTACAAACCAAACTGCAGCATTCTTCATCGTGCAAACAGGCTCGACGCAAGCCTTTACATGCCTATATATATATACACATATACATATATATATGAGTGGGAAGTCTTAAAGTCGTTCTTAGGTTACCCGGGGGCTAATGTCCTGTCCTCCTTTGGTGAACCCAATACTGCTCAGCACCCCCAAAACTGTACAGATGTGAATGTACTTCATACTAAACGGCTAAGCGGTGATGGTGATCCAGCTCTGCTTTTAATTTGAGAAAATTTCGTTTGCAAACAATTCCAACAGTTGCAGTGGTGAGATCGTCGACGACCAAACTGTTCCAATTATAGCGACGCTAATTAAATTAAGCCTCGGCCTGACCAATGTACATATGTACACGTACATGCATGAAGTGGCAGTAATGCTTGGAGCTGTGTATTCCACATCATCTAAACTAATAAACGAAATGGCAAAACGCGTTTAAGTACAGTCGAGCTAGCCTGGCCGTGAAATATCTTAGTCCTAAAATAACTTTCGCCATTGGTGTATTTTACAACGGTGGACAAAAGTAGTAGTAGAAAACTAAAATTGTTATGGAGATTTTTTATGATTTATTGAGTTTACAAATTTTAATGACTTTTTAATTTATAAAAAATATATTAAGCTTCTCTTATTCAAAAAATGTATCACTGTTTCGAAACTAAAGTCAACCTTCTATAAGTGTATTATTAAAAATTAAGCCCTCCATTCATATCAATGACCTTTTGTAAGCATACAGGAATTGATTTGAAGCACATGTACCCCAAGAACATTACCAATCCTCCACCATGTAATCCCCATTCACACATGGGCCTGATTTCTTGGCAAATATTCTTTGGCAACGTGCAATAAATCTTTTCCTTCGTTCCATGATATTCAAAAGAGCTTTTGAGCGTTTGTCCATAATACTTGTACCCAAACGATTGCGACTTGTTTATTGGAATTTGGCGAATATTAACCTTTTTAGATTATTTTTTGTTGAAATTAAAGGAATAGGACGAGCTATATATGCAAAAAATCGGCCTCGCCTAGCCGTATTTAGATAGTTCTTCTACTTATTGATATTTTATGGTGCTTCTTGAGCTCACTCGACACTGCTTTTGGTGTATTCATCACATTTTCCTTAAGTTTCCTCAACAACCGAGAGTACCCGTTGCAATATAGCCAAAATTGCTGACATGGCGTCTGCAATGTTTCCGTCGCCGAGACCAAAATTCCTTAGAACTTGAAGATCGCACCACTCGCTAACGTTGCATTGTCGCCGTTGCCAAGCTTAGGGTTTGTATAGATTGTATTTAAGTTACAGTGCCATTCAAACATTCAAATAAACAAGACATATTTTTTTTTAAGTTCTTATTTTATTTAAATTAACTTTGTGCTTAAAAAGGACATCTGTAAATTCCTCGCTTTCTCAAAGTTATTATAAGTAAATAATTTTTTCGTTAAAAAAAAAAAACAAGATAATCATCATTTGCGGTCCCTGGAAAAAAGAATATCTTGTGTCTATCTGTAGTTTGAAGGCATTAATTATTGCTGGTATGGATGACAATTTATTGGGGCTACACTTGCTTACCAACTACATACAAGTAGAACTCATGACTAAGCTTCAGGAATTAGGAGGTGTCATATATGGACAAAGGCGTATCCGAAATGTTATACGCTGCTAGTCACCTAACGGATTTAAAAGTCTTGCATGTTGATGTATGTAGTGTGTGTGTAGCGGTATGTTCTTCACATACCTTGAAACGTTTGGATTTAGCTTTACAGCGTATCGTGTTTCGACCCGAAACAAACATGGACGGCATTAAAGAATATTGCAATAATGTTGTTGGATCTTTGGATAGAAATGGACGACCACTACAACTGGACTACAATTGCCCGCTCACTGAAACTAAGAAATTTATGCATCAATGGAACCCAAATCAAAATCTTCAATCTTTTTATCATCAATCAGTAAAGAAAAACTGGGACAGATAGAATGTTTAGTTATTGGTGGATCGACTGTTGTCAAACCATTGCTAATATGAAAGGCCTAAAACATTTGACATGTGAATTTCGTGATATGAATTTTCTGGAGTTGTTAGCTCAACTGACGCAGCTGAGAGAACTTTGGCTTGATGTGAAATATGTATGACAACGAAACACGCCAAATTCTATTAAAAATACTTGTAATACAAGTATAATGTAACGCGCAACTTGAATATATGACTATAGTCAGTGATGTAACATCACTGATGTTATATACAACTAATACAAATTGATTCAAAGTATATAAAATTAAGAGAGAGATAACTCGCATTACTGTTATGACGAAACATCCAGTATAGATGTCGATTTCGGAGGAAATTAATAGAATCAAATGTTAGAAATAATAATAAAATTAAAGAAGTAATAATATAAATAATAACAATATAAATAATAACAATATAAATAATATAAAATATAAATAATAATAATATAAATAACTGGCAGGTCTTGCCCGTCTTTGTTGGGCTAAGTAAAATGTGCTTATAATTATAAGTTTATTTACGAGCCCTAACCACTATTAATTGGTACGGCACGGTTTTTTTCGACAGTGCAACTTTCAATGACTCATATTTATTTGTAGGCGATGATTGCCCAAACATATTTATACTTTTTAAAAAGGTCATTGAATTACCTTTAATTTCATATCAAAACATGCACGAGTTTCATATCAACAAAATGAAAAAACTCAATTTAAATAAAACAACTTTCATACTACACGAAATATTTTGACCATTATTAATTGGTACGGCAACATTATATATTCATTAAAACTGAGTAACATCTTCTTTATTTTTAATAACACCCTGAATTCTCTTCTGCATGGTATTTACTAATTTTAGGCATTCTTCTGGAGTTATGGAATCCCAAATTTCCTGAATTTTTGATTTTAGTCCTGACAGAGTACGCTGTGGGTCATTCCTCAGCTTTCTTTTGATGATTGCCCACAAGTTTTCTATTGGGCTTAGATCTGGGCTTGATGACGGCCAATCTAAGACATCAATTCCATTTTCTTGAAGCCAATTTTTGGTTGTTTTTGCGGTGTGTGGTGATGCACCATCCTGTTGAAAGGTATATTCCCCACACTCAGAAAGCTTTGGTATTGATGGAAGGAGATTACTTTGAAGGATACACTTATATTTTTCTGCATTTACAGTTCCATCTATAAAGTAAAGTTGTCCCACACCTTTGGCTGACATGCATCCCCACACCATTGTGCTCGTTGGAAACTTGACTGTACGTTTAAGACAATCTTTGTGATATGCCTCCGTACGTTTTCGTATTACTCGTTTTCGAGCATCACCGACACACACATCAAATTTGGATTCATCGCTAAAAATTATAGAATGCCAACGCCTCTGTTCCCAATTCTGCCTTTGTCTTGCCCATAGCAATCGTTTTTTCATCTGCAAAGCTGTGAGCAATGGTTTTTCTTTGGCCTAAAAACACCAACATATATTAATTGTACAGAAAAAATTATCTGTTATGCTAAGCAGGAACCGCAATCATACCTTATAGAAGCCATATCCAATTCTTTTCATTTGCTGTCGAGTCCATTCTCGTTTCACTGTTTTCCCAATTTTTGCAGACCATTTTGCCGATATATCTCTCACAGTACTTCGCCGATTTTCCTTTATTATACTCGACAAACTTCTTTTGTCACGCGAAGTAACTTTTGAGACTCGACCTCTGTTTGCTGTATTACAGTGTATATTGCCATTCTTTCTGTAGCTTTTCACTATATTTTGAACTGTAGACTTAGAAAGCATAAGACTTTTCGATATTTCACCATAGCTGTTGCCCAAATTTAATTTTTTTAGAATTTTAGCTCGAACTTCCTCACAAACTGGCTTGCCACGTGCCATCGTGCTCATAAATCAGGGAATAAAACTAAAACTACAACTAAATGTCATATGTTTTTACTTTTCCTTCATCACAATATTCTATTTACCGTTACTTGTCCAGTTTTTGTTTACATTTTACATTTTTCACCGTTTTTTTAACAAAAATAATGTTGCCGTACCAATTAATAATGGTCAAAATATTTCGTGTAGTATGAAAGTTGTTTTATTTAAATTGAGTTTTTTCATTTTGTTGATATGAAACTTGTGCATGTTTTGATATGAAATTAAAGGTAATTCAATGACCTTTTTAAAAAATATAAATATGTTTGGGCAATCATCGCCTACAAATAAATATGAGTCATTGAAAGTTGCACTGTCGAAAAAAAACCATGCCGTACCAATTAATAGTGGTTAGGGCTCGTACTATATGATAGTCTTCTTTCGACGCTTTTTAAAGTTTTTTAAAGAGTTCATTTTCCAAATAGCAAATATAGTACAATAAGTACTATGCATGGTTATACATACATACATATGTACATATCTTCGTTACGCACCGGGCGGACTGCCAGTCCTGACTTAACTGTGTGCTTCCTCAGCACGTTGTACACACGGTCGAGTTATCCCCGAAAAGTCCGACGCGGGACATCTAATTTTGATTTATAAATCGGGATTTATAAATTGGAGTGTTCGGCAACACTGATATGTACATACATTGAAATTTTTCATGCAGCCGTATCCACCTATATACATACATACATACATATGTACATATATAAGTATGTATTACATTTTTTAATTCAACGCTACTTTGTGTCTTCAATTCCAAATATGATTGTTGTGAATGTAAATCGCATGAATAAACTCACAAAATAGGCTTAACGGTAAATGACTCTTAGATTTGTTCAGAATACATTTGTAGCGTTGTTAGCTAACACTAAAACGGCAAGTCGCTGTAAATATGCGATCAGCTGAGATGCTAGAGATGGGCATGTGTCGAATGCTCTATGTGTTAGAGCATCAAAACTATCGATAGTTGAATCCGTCGATACAATCAATAATTCCATCGAAGTTTGAATGCAATTAACAGACAATTTAAATAATAACATCTTATAATTTATTGAGATTAATTAAAACAAATCATATACAAACATATATATGTACATCTGCCCGCAACGCGAAACAGAATATGCGTAGGTCCGCTTTCGGTTTCTGCTTTACTATCGCCTACGCAGTCGTTGCCTAGCGACGGTAACTGTAAACTTTTGGCATTTTGCCTTTGAAATTAACAGCCGTATGTGATCAAAGCGAAAGAAGAAGAGCGAGCCAATGATTTGCAG